CTCCTTAAACTTAAAACTTTCTTATCCTGTCCTTGAATAACCCTGCTAGCAGTATTTTGTATATCATCTTTGTTGCTTACATCTGCTATTATTGATCTCCCTGGGGAGATTTTAGACAAGAATCTATGCCTTTCACATCTCCAGCTCTCTCTTGTATTATCTCCTTCCCCCATCTATAGACTTCTTATATTCTAGAATGCCCTTGGCCCCCTTTTCATTGTAATCTTGCAAGGATGAAATCAAGATCTACCTAAAGCCCTCCTCTCTTACCATGGATTGCATTTACCTCTGTCTCTGAATCTCCCTAGAGTCAGCTGGATGCTCTTGACAGCGGATATATTCTGAATATACACCTAGCCCTTTTTAGGTGTGTGTGTCTTACTTGACCAATCAGACTATAAGCTCTTGGAAGTTAGATGCAGTATCCTCACATCCTAGGGTCCCTCACAGAATCTAGCACCCGAGTTCACTGCCAAGGTGCATTTCCAAGAGCTCCACTCTAATCCCTCTCAAGGTGGACTGGTGAAGCCAATGGGACATCTCTGGAAAGCAAGAGAGAAGGAGATCACCCATGTCTTGTTTCTTTCCCTTTCTACTCAACAAATGGCTACCCCTTCTGAGATTAGGCAATTTAATTTCTATGCACAATCTTACCATAGGTGGTGTAAAATTTTCTTACCTCTCACAACTTTGAACTGCTCTTTACTTTCACTCCTTTATCTAAAAATATCCTTTTGATTAGATATTCCAAACTCTCTTTTCCTTCTGTTATTCAAAGTATTGGCCTCTAAGTCTTCAGCATAATAGCTTATATGACATGCCAACAAAACAAAACTATATGAAACTATGGGAAGGAAAATAGGTTTCCAAATTATATAGCTCCAGAGAAAGCAAAGGATAGTGAGAAAGAGTGAGGAAGGGAGAGTGTGTGTTTTTGAATACAGTCTGTCTCAATACACAGAAAATACTAATTATGAGGAAATAAGATAATCTCTGCATCGGAAGAGAGACCTTAATGGTATAACTGCCTCTGAGAATTTGAGGGTTCTGGAGGTACAAAGCCTTCTTTTGTAATCAATGAGGATCTTAGGTTTACTTGCAAAGCTCTCTGAATCACCTCTTGATGAAGGTACTAATTTTCTGATTATATTTTCACATAACCATTGCTCTAGAAGATTTTAAAAAAGCCAGAACAAACCAACCAATCAGTCTCTAGTTTCCTTGTAAGTCACTTTTAAGTACAGCTTGCTGCAAGTTAGGTTTTCATAGGAGAAATTTGATTTGCATTGCTCAATAACCCAGTCATTGGTATTACTGAAGGAGAAATTGGTTACAAGAGAAAATGGAAAATATGTGAACTATCCCACATCTGAAGTTATTCTTGGAGACACAACGATGTGCTAACAGCATTTCAAAACTGCAAATCTGTCTACAATTTTATTAATACATAAAAATGCTCTGCATCTTAAGAAGCAGAGAGACAACTGTTTTGCTTATATTTTGTTATCCACACAGTATTTTTATAGCCATTGAAGGCATTCCCTTCTTATTTTCTTTCAAATCCAGAGATCATAAAATTTATGATCAATTATATTGCACAACTGATGACCTCAGCATTGTAAATGAAATTATGGTTATTAAAACTCATTGTCAACATAAGTCCATAAGTATAAAATACACTAAAATATGCAAAATTTGTGAATATACACATATCTTTAAAGAGAAGCTTTAAGACAGACTGAATCTCAAAAGACAATGTGAGGTAAGTCAAGGGTCTGGTTATTCACTTTTATGGGTTATAAATGGTCTTTTCTGCTCTCTTTCTTGTTGCCTCTTTTCTTGCTGTTTAGCTTCTTTACTGGCATCTAACACCCTCCATGAGAGGACAGAATAGCAAAAGAGGCCATGAATTCAATCCAGTCAATTCTGTTTTTTGTTAGCAGCTCTGACAGAATCTGATGTGGGAGGAGATAAAAATCTATCTGAAACTAGCTAAAATTAAAGTTTTAAAAAATGCATCCATGTATTTTACTTCGCTTACCTATAGTAGTGCATTTTAGAATTTGGTGCTCACCATTTTTTCAGCCTGCATGTGTTAGGAAAAAGGATGGTAAGGGTTTTAAAAATGTATTTGTAAGGAGGGTAGATGTTAGTCCCAAGGGCAGGTTCAAGGTGAGAAAGAGCAGCATGATGACACTGAGGAATTCCTTACAATCTCTTCCACTGAGTCATCACCACCTCCTCTCCACCATGATCCCCTTCCTTATCTTCTGGAGAGTCATATAGTGGAAGGAAGCTGGAATCACTACATAGCCATTAGGATGAATAAAATTAAAAAGCAGATACTACTAAGTGGTGGTAAAGATGTGAAGGAACTAGAGCCCTCATATTGCTAGTAGGAATACAAAATGATACAGCCACTTTTGAAAATATGACTCCATTTCTTAAAATACAACCCAGAAAGTTAACTCCTACTTAATAACCCAAGAGAAAAGAAAACATATGTCCACATAAAGATTTGTACATTGATATTTAAATAGCATTATTCATACAAGCATTATTCAGACAATCTAAATGCCACACCAATTGAATGGAGAGGTAAAACACGTTATATTCACGCAATGGAATACTGCCCAGTAATAAAAAGGAGTGGGCATGCCAGGGATGTAGCTCAGTGGCGCTGGACCTGTCTGGCAAATGCAAGGTCCTGAGTTTAATTTCCAGTACAGGATAAAACAAACAAAGAAAAAGGAGTGAGCTACAGGTACATGTTATGGCATGGATGGGCCTCAAAAACATCATGTGAAGTGAAAGAAGCCAGACATATAAGAGTACATGGTATGTGATTTCATTAATGTGATATTTCTAGAAAATAAAAAAATGTATATAGAGAAAGCAGATCAATAGTTGCACAGGGTGGGAAGGGGAAGGGGAATGGACTGCAATGGAATGAGGAAATTTTGGTATGAAAAAAATGTTCTAAAACTGGACCATGCCAATAGTTGGGACCCCTCTGTAAGTTTACTAAAAATTAAAGAACTGTACAGTTAAAGAAATGGGTGATCTGTAAATGCAATAAAGGTGTTTACAAAAAAAGAATGCTGGGACAATGCAACCAGTATTTAGAGGGTATAGTCTGAATAAGGCCATTCCTGCAGGCTATAATTATAATGCAGGATGCTCCAAACAGACCTCTGTTTATCTACACCTCTATTCTCTGTACCATTTATCAGCTGGACAACATGAACTGCAGGATGTCCAGGACACCTCCAGGAAAAGGTGACCCACAGGGCAGGTTTGCTCCAGAAGCCTGTGCTATTTAGCTACAGGCTGGTGTATGAATAGCATAGTCTTTGTTATGTGTGCACAATAAATCAGCACTGACTTCCCGTATGTGGGTACTTCCCATATGTGGGTACGGTTTTTGATGGGCTTTCTCTGCCTAGCCATGACATATTGGTAAAAATGCTAATGCTGAGTACTTACAACAAATGGCTTGTGAATGTTTGAAAAGAATGTAGTGATCCCTGGGAGCCAACTTGGGTTCTTTCCGTAGAGCTAACAGGTGATGATAAGCCAATGACCTTGGAGAACCAGAATAAGGTCCCATTCCAAGCTCTAAATGAATCACACTAACAGAGTGAATGGAGTCACAATGACTTCCTGGTGCTGAAAGAACCAAGAGAATACACTGGATATCTCACTAAGGCTTAATCAGTGATACTAAAACCCATCTAAACAAAGAAAGTATTAGGTGTGTAGTGGGTTGGGTGAGGGTGGAGGGAAAGGTCAAGCAACAAAACAATGGGTAAAAGAGAACTGGAACACCTAGCCTTGGTGGTGACCTCAGCAAAGAAAGGCTGAAGCTGAAGTAAGTGAGTCCCTGGCCACTCAGGAGGGACTCTCTGCCTTAGGGCAGGAGCTACTTCATCAGTGCTTGTATCGATCCCAGCCAAACATCCCTCAAAATTGCCTTCCCCACCATGCCATCTGCGCCATGAAGCAGCACTCAGCGAATGCATTTTTTGGTTACTCAGACACCAGGAACAGACGTGTTTAGGATGAGGCTGGTGGAATGGCATTTGGTCCCTGTTAGTGAATCCCCCCATCATACATTAACAGACTGGAAATGTTGATATGCTGTGTTTTTCTCAATTAAGTTAGATGACACCCCTGAGGTACAGAATCTGCTCAGGCGATGTAATGATTAAGAGCAGGGCTTGGTGACAGGGCGACTTGGGTGCGAGTTTTGGCTCTGCTGCTCAGTATCCATAACTTTTGGTCAATTATTTAACCTTCTCTAAGCATCATATAAAAACATTCAAAATAATGATGTTCAAAATAGTACTTATTTCTTATCATCAGGATTATGTAAATCACTTAGCACAGTGGCTGAAATGAGTCTCAAGAAAACTGTAAATTCATCCAGTGTTTCAGTGATGCTCAGCTGCTCAAGCTGAAGACCTGAGCCCACCCTGGAACTCGGTCAGCTCATCAGCATAACCCACAACCCGCCAGGGCGTCTTTTCCCTGGCAACAGCTCCTGTGCCACTAGCCGCTCTTCAAACTTTAGCGGTCTCACTGAAAATAGGTTTTTGCCAAACTATATTAATTTCCTTTTTTTTTTGACAAGGTTATTAGTATAAGGTTGACAGACCAGGAGAATACCGGAGATATGGTGTCTTTGATTCCAATGAAGCACTTGATGAAGTCTTTCATTACCTATAAGGTGGTGGGGTCTGTGAGCGCAAAATCAAGCTGATTCACAGCTGGTTGTATGTCTATACCCAAGAGACTTGGCTGGCACAACCTGTAGGGGGACCACTGATTGAACGCCACAGCCCTCTGTCCCTGGATTCTGCCCTATTCAATATTTTTATTAATAGCATCAAAGAGACATAGAGGAACACATCAGATTTTTCAATGACAGAAAACTATGAAGGATATTTAATACACTAATAGATCAATGCAAAATTCAAAATTCCCTCAACAGGCTGAGAGGCAAAGCTGACACCAAGAAGATGCAATTTAACATGGATAAGTGTGATGTTCTCTGTTAAGGGTCCAGAGGAAATCAACCGCTCAAGGCAGAAATGGGAACATGGCTTTGAAAACGGGTTACAGAAGTATCTGGGGTTCCTACTGAACATACGAAGAAGGTTAGTGGAAAGTGCACAACTAGGGTCAGATGGAAAGGGGACACACACATACTTGTATAAGATGATTTTAGAAAACAAATTAGCCCATTCATAGCTGATTTTATCTTACAATTTCACCCTCAGATGGCTAGTAATTATCTCCATTTAGATTTTAGGAATTTAAGGAATTTGTCAGAGTGGTGACAAAGTCAGGATATGAATCCAGTTCTGATTTCCAAAATTAATGTTCTTTGTGTTCATCATATGATGCTGCCGCTTCTCTCCCAGGTGCCGTGAGGCCCGAGGGAAGCGATTTTAATGGAAATGCCTAGTACAGTGCCTGACCCCGTGTTCTGCTCGGGAGTTGTTGGTTTTCCCCCTAGAGACTCGTTTAGATGTAAAAAGGGGTGCTTATTTAAATGCCTGGCATTTTATATATTATGATTCCTACAGTCTAAGTCTTTTCAAATTTATACATCAATATAACTACCACAGAAGTGATTCAGTCCTTTTTTCTTCTCCTACTTACCAGTATTCCCAACACCTGTGGCCAGAATAGGATCTTCTGACCCAGGGGAGGTAGTGAGAGATTTGTGGGCAATCTGAAATCTCTGTCAGTCAGTTTTGATAAGCACATAATTAGAACTTTAAAAAAAAATTAAGGTAATTTTCAAGGGCTGCATTTGTGGTTCATTGTTGCATATTTACATGATAAAACCTCAATTACCTTTATTTATTTTTAAAACTTTTTGGTACAGAGGATCAAACTCAGGACCTTGCGCTTGCAAGGCAGGTGAAGTGACACTGAGCTACATCCCCAGCCCTCAATTACCTTTAGATAATGAGGAATTGTGTCAAGTAACCTTGGTATAATGGTTTGTATATGAAGTGCACAAAATTTTCATTTAACTCAAGTATTTAATTCATTTATTTTCTGGTTAAAATGATACTGTTGTTTTTGTTGTTGTGAGCCCTTATTAGAATTCTTCCTAAAAATGGATGTATATTTTTTTCTCCCCTGCCAATGTGCAGTTTCCTGATGTTCCTTACTTCTTTCCTGGATGTCTGGAGTATTGCACTGCTTCTGAGTCATGCTCTGGGACAACCACTTGTCACTCGGCCACATGCTGTTGCAGAAGGTAGCTGGGAAGTGCATACAAGCCCCAACAATGTGTGGAAGATGGTACTCTTTTAGTTTTCTTTTGTTTTTGTTTTCAGTACCGGGGATCAAACTCAGGACCTTGTGCTTGTGAGGCAGGCGCTGTGCCACTGAGCTAAATCCCCAGCCCTGACAGTAGTCTTTTAAATAAATAAATTCCTAGGAGCCATAGGCTGCCATCGTCCCCTGTGCTAAAAGCACAGGCTGACATTAGCTATCTAAAAGTTCCAGTTCATGGGTGTTTTATTGTAAAAAACAACAAAAAACCCCAGTCCTTTTTGGAGTGGAGGTGAGCGCCTCTTAATTTTCTCTCTGTCTTTCTTTTGTCTTAGGGCAGCCATGATTCATAAGGCTGGAGACAGACAGGCATTAGCTGCTGATGGTGCTGATGACCCCTGCACTGGTGAGGAGGGGTCAGCCTTGGAGAAAATGACCAAGTGGACCTGTTTGATGGACATGTGGAGAACTCCACTGTAAACTGTCTCATACGGAGAAGGAGAAAAGGGATGATTCCAGGAGTAGAGTGTGTTCTGAGGGCCAGGCCACTTAATCTGCAATAAAGTGGGTCACTTCCTTCTCATTTTTAAGCCCACACATGCACACCTCTGTGGTCTCTCATGGGGCTGTGGCTTCTTTCTGCAGTGCCCTTCATCTCCCCTCCATTGGGTGAACCCTGCTTCTCTTCCAAGCTATTTAAAGACCAAGTTCAAATACTACTAGGATGAAGGCTGAAACCTCCCCCGACACCCTCTGCCACCCACCCTGACACCTATCACAGGTATGACTGCCAGGGGCTGATGTTTCCTCCTCCAGGTCAGAGTCTCCTCGAGGGAGGAAACAGACCTCAATCTCCTCATATCCTTAGCATGTGCCACAGTAGAAGGTGGCTGAAAATCAAACCCAACTAGACTAAAACAGGGAAATCTCAAAACAAGTAACAGCAACTGGACTTTTGAATGACCATCTCAAAGTAGTCATGTTCCATGAAAAATATCTATTCAGAATACTGAAGAAATGCAGTATGAATTTGTTTTTAAAACCACTTTATTGAAATAAGATTAACATGTTTACTGTATACAACTTGATGAGTTTGGGGATATGTGTACACTTGTGCAATCACACGACCATCAGGGCATAAATGTGTTCATCACTTTCCAGACTTTTGTCCCATCCCCTTACACACACACACACGCACACACACACACACACGCACACACACACACACACAGACACGTGTGTACCTAAGATCCACCCCTCTTAGCAAATTTTCAGAATACGATATAGTATTCTTAGCTGTTGTCACTATGCTACTGGAACTTACTTTGCATAACTGAACCCTTGTACCTTGTGAACATCACATTTCCATTTCTTTCTCCCTACCACCCCTGGTAACTACCATTCTACTCTTTGTTCCTATGAGTTTGACTATTTGAGATTCACATACAAATGAAGTCATTTGGTAAATTGCCATCTGTGCCCGGTCTGTTTAATTAAGCATAAGGGCCTCCAGTTCCAGCCATCTTGTTGTGATTGGCAAAATTCCCTCCTTTTTAAAGCCTGACTAATACTCCATGCATGTCTATTCCACACTTTATCTATTTATCCATAGATGGGCATTAGGTTGTTTCCATGTATTTGCTATTGTGAATGCTTCAGTGAACATGGGAGTGCAGATATTCCTTCCTGATCCTGATTTAAGTTCCTTTGCATAAATACCCAGAAGTAAGATTACTGGATTGTATGGCAGTTCTATTTTTAATATATGTTTGTTTTATATAAGATTGCAAGCTTGTTGATCAAAATTATGAGCTTAAAATGGAAAAGTAAAGGGAAGAGCAATGATTTCTAAGAAGCAGGTGTTAAAAGTATGAAATGGAAAAATAACATCTCCACCTGCCAATATATTTCATCATAATTAACAAATTTCCAATGAAAATGCAACAAATAATGATTTAGTGTTTGATGGAAAATGAAGTTTAATCTCCAATTATCACTGAACTCATTACGTATTTATGTCATTCATACACAGTGAGCAATTATTCATTTTTTATTTCAAGATAATTGTCAAATTAAGCTGGACAAACAACATATGATGAAAAATTGGTCACTCATTCTTATATTGCTTTAGAATGATGATAGTGTGGAGGATGTCATTAATTAATGTAATGTCATTCACATGGTGGAGACTTGACATCCATGAAATGTACAATTAATAATGAAAATGTCACAGTGTTAATACCACACTTCCTGGTCACATCAAATTTTTTCACCCCAGCTTAAATTAAATCTACCTGAAACCCCTGGTTCAATTTTCATGAGAGTCAAGTAATTTGTAATTTTTGACAAAGAATTTAAATTCCATACTTCACTCTCACTATATGAAAAATGATTTTTTGTCACAGAATTCTCTTAATCTCAACTCTTTAAAGAATGTATTAATATTATTTCAGTCCAAATGCCTTAAATGTTGAAATCCCATATTTTAATTCTTTAATTTGAAAGCGACTTTCTTTCCCCAGCATTTCTTTGCTTTTATTTATATTTAGTCTTAACTCTCAGCAAAATTCATTTAAAAAATGATATTTCTATCTCATAAACATGACAGAATGTGTTGAAGGCTCCCTGCAGGAAAACCATGAGTACAGGTAGAAACCCCTGCAGGGTCCGCAGCTAGAGTGTCCCCAGTGAAATGTCGCACGAGAGATCCTAATTAGGGAGGCTAGGAGAAAAGAGATGCTACCTTTCAAACACAACATTTAAGAAACAAGTCTTATTAACACGGCAGGTTTTATGAAACACTGGAATCTTATGTAAGTTTGGCTTGCTTTTTGTTCCTGAAAAAAGGACTGCATTTGGGCAAACAAAAACTGAATATCTTAAATCATGAACTTGAGACTTAAAGAAAATCTACAAATAGAATTTAATAAAATGTAAGTTTTCAAACATTTTTTTTCTATTTTTTGATCATATTTTATTTACTTTCCTATTCATTTCAATATAAAAGGGCTTAAAGTCAAATGTTTAAACTTAGAGTTGATTCCTAGAATGACCCCATGGCTAATATCTTGTCTATACACAAGGTCAAATAGATGTCAATTTGGACTGACTGCCAAGCAATTTATTAGGAAGCTGGAGGATCTGAATTGATCATTAAGACAACAGAACAAATGGGCTTTGTCTGATTGCTTCAGTTACTTGATGACTAAGTCATCACGGCTGCAGAAAATTTACTTGACTTCCAAATGCGATAGACAGACGGACAACCCCATGACATGTCTGCTATTTAGAAACCTACTTTCATTAAACAAAGGGAGAAAATTATGCCTTCATCTAATTTCTTCAGGAAGGGAAGGATTTCTTGCCATATTTCTTGATCTATTGTCATGTTTCCCAAACTGGAGACCTTTGGAATATAGACAATTTGGATTTCAAATATCAGAATTCTAAGTGTCTGGTCTTCAGCAGATACTACTTTTCCAGGTGTTCAGTGTGATCCTGGATTAAAATTTACATGGGGGGGAGTAAAATGGATCAAGATGAGATATGTGTATGTACCAATTCTCCATGATGAATATATTTACTATGTATCACAAACATGTACCAATAAAAGATAAAATAAAGATAAAATTTAGGCAGAAGACTTCCTTTGGAAGCTGATAAGTTATTTCCATGTGATATAGAAACATAAGGGAGACCAGAGAGGCAATATTTTAAATAGAAAAAAAATGTCCTGTCCACTCTTTCTGCTCAGCTTGCCAATCCTCTCATCTCCACAGCACCCAGGCCAGCCAAGGCCTAAACTCATGAGGAATAAAGTTCTATTGCCCTTGTTACTGAAGAGTGCAAAACACTAGAGGAAGAGAGCTTATTAAAGAACCACAGCACGTTGCATAAAAGTTGGTCGCTGTGACCTTGAGAGAATTGTTACCATCCTACATTTCTAAATCTCCACTCACAGCTCCTATTCTGAGTCATGCCTTGGTGTGGAACTCAATGTAGTCTGTGGTATTATCTATCCATTCATCCATCATCCACCCATCTACCCTCCATCCATCCATCATCCACCCATCCATCCATCCATCATCCATCCATCCATCATCCACCCATCCATCATCCATCCATCCATCCATCCACCATCCACCCATCCATCCATCCATCAATCCATCATCCATCCATCCATCACCCATCCATCCATCATCCACCCATCCATCCATCCATTCAACAAATGCACCTTGAAGGTTGACTTGTTGGCAATTGCTTGGCGGTGCACAAAATGAACAAGTTGTAATTTTGCCTTGGAGATCTATCAGTCCAGGTGGAGTCACAGTGACAGGTGCTTAAAGGGAGTAGGTTTAGGATGATGTGAGAGCACCAGGTAGGGGAGCTGCAGATGGCCCCATGGAGTCGGAGAAAGGTTTCAGGGATGTGTAGGAGGTTTCCAGGTGGAGTGGTAAGAGAAAAACCTAATAGGCAGAGGAGGTATTGTATGTAAAGACCAGAAGTGTGCAAGAACATAAAAATGTGGTGTTAGTTATTTTTTTCCAAAAGTTTATTTATTTCCCAATAAATTTTGGCAAGGGGGAGCTGTTTGTGAGTGACAGGATGGAGACCATGAAAGTGGGTCACAGCTAAGGGGCTCGTGAAGGAACCTGGTCTTCAACTTAATTAGACAAGATGTGTAGAATGCTTGGAACACCGCCTGGTGTATATACAGCCTGCTCAGAACATACCACTGGTGTTTGCCATGCCGCAGTTTGTGGGAAACTTACTAAGGTTTTAAAGAAATGAAAAGATGAGGTCAGAGTTGGTTTATAACAATCATTCTGATAGCAATGTTGAGAGTGGACCACAGTGAGGAGATAATGTTCCCAGGCCAGTAAATGGAACAATTCTAGTGATTGAGGATGAAGGTCAGGAGCAGGTCCTGTTTGCTGGTGCATTCCCAGTGCTCAGCATAGTGGCTTCATGTAGTAAGTGCTCATAAGCAGTTGCTGAATGAATAAATGGATGGCAATGGGAGAAGGGAGTGGAGCTGAGAACTATCTAGGTAGCAGAAATAGCAGGGTTGGTGAGTACTGGGTGTAGGAGGTAAAGGAGGAGTTGTTGAGTTTAAGGATGACTCTGAAAAACTGGGTTTGGGAGGATGGTAATACTGCAGTCAAGGAGAAGAAGGAAGAACAGGTTTGGCAGGGAAGAAAGGCTCTATGAGTAGTATTCTCTGTGCATCTGCTGGGTTCAGAGTCTCCAGGGTGTTGAGAAAGAGTTGTCAAAGGAAGGCAGAGAGCCTTCATGCAGGGCTGTGCCTCTTATGCTCCAGGTGCTTAGCTTGGTACTTTCCCTGTTAACTCATTTAGCTCCCCACAAAGTCTGTGAGTTTAGTATTGTTATCCCTGTTCATAGGGAGGGAAACTGAGCCTCCAGGTTACATATTAACTAGGTGGCAAAGTCCAGATTAAAAACACATGCCTTGGGCTGGGGGTGTGGCTTAGTGGAGAGCATTTGGCTGGCATGCACAAAGCCTTGGGTTCAACTCCCAGCACCTCAAAAACAAGTACATACACAAACCCACATCCCTTTCTGCTGCAAAACCTGTGCTTTTAAAATTCCATCATGTTGCCTCCCCCACCAAAACACATTTGGAATATGGCATATTCCATATTCAGAAAGCTCGGGGGTGGGTAGGGTACTTTGTAAAGAAACTAAAGCATAATTTCTGTTAACTTTTTGCCATATTAATACTCCAAATCCATCTTCTAGTTGACAGGGTTATTATGAGTAACCAAAAAAAAATGTGAGTGAAAATCTTTTGAAAAAGATAAAGCATTCTATAAAAGCAATATAAAAAACAAGAAAGAAATATGCTCAGATACTGATTAAACACTTCTAGAAAAGTGCACGGGATGACAGAAGCAGATGGGCTGTCAGGGTCCTCTGACTGGCAAAGGTACCTTTCCAGTCATGGCTCAAAGAGTCTGTTGGGTCCCTTTTTGTCTTTATGGGTCGACCTTCCTAACACATGAACGCCTGGACTGGAGTTATGGCTGAAGAATGACTACTGCACTCCACACTTACAGAGTAGACAATGTTACTGCCTTTACTCCTCTTTCTAAAATAAAGCTAAGTTCTTATCATTTGGGTCTGCAGGGTTCCATCTGAGACTGGGAGGAGTGGCCGCCGGATGGAAAGCAAGAATGGTATGTGCTATCTCTTCATGCTGGGCAAAGCCTCTGAAAACCATGGTGGAGGGGGTGGTGAGGTGTCCCCACCCTGAGACATGTGGAACAGAGGCTATCCCCGTGTTCTCACTGGAGTCGCAGTGACCAGCAGGAGGGAGCTCTCTGTATGTGACTGTATGCTGTTGACAGTCTTCTCCTTGCTCTTCAAATGGCTAGGTCCTTCTCCCCACTCTGGCTTTAGCTTTGACACTGTCCCCTGGGAGAGGCTTTCTGTGGCCATGCACACTCTTTAAGTCAGTCTCTCCATTTTTTTTTAAACATGGGTCTTTTTAGAATTTATAATCACACATTTGCTTGCGTATCTGTGCTCCCTCTCAAGCTAGACTGCAGGCATCATCAGGGCAGGAAGCATGTCTACTTGATACAGCCCAGCACTAGCATGGGCCCAGAACACAGTAGGCATTCAGAACCTTGTGTTGCATTTATGAATGAATGGCGCTAAATCATCTGAGAGGATAGAACAAGTGACGAGAAAGCAGAAGGGCCACTAATCACTTGGAGAGCTTGCTTCACAGCCAGGCTTGGTTGTGATGTGGGATCAGGAAAGGAGTAGTAGATTGGCTGACATGGGGACCGAGGCCATCCCTTTGGTCTCATCAGCAAGACATGCCACCCAGTGAGCCAACTGGCCCACACACGGCCCCTCAGAACACAAGCATCACTATTCCTCAACCTTAGAATAGGCTCCTTGTTCTCCTAGTTAAATATGCATGGTACATAAAAATAATTGTGCAGACAGAAGGATTCACAGTTGCTCAAAGTAGACCAGGAAAGTGTTTGAGCCATTCAGTGGGTGGTGGAACTGCTAGGGGAACCGAGAATGTTCCACGGGAGGGAATAGAAACTACTCCAGGAAATGGTACTGTATGAAACAATTTACATATCTGAGGGCATGGGAGGTTCTGGAACTGCACTTGTTCCCTCTGTTTCTACCACTTGAAATAAATCGTTGAGACCTAAAATGAGTAGATGATATGTAGTAATGTGGCTGAAAAGTCACTTGAGACTAGTTTATGGGACAGGCTTTGTGCATAATTTATCACACTACATCTTTCCAACCTGTATAGAAAGTAATAGCATCTCCTGTTTTACCAATGAGGAAACAGTTCAGAGAGGTTACGTAAGTAAGCAACTAAATCTGTTAGATTTTAACACCGCACTTTTTTACCAAGGAGCCAAAGCCTGGAGGATTTAACTGTTTAGATTTTAAATTACTTTTTGTAATGCCATTTCTTATACAGCTTTTAGGTATATCAGGAATGTATTTCTGACAGCAGGCTAACATTGCAAAGATGGTTTGCAAGAGAGGGGATATACTTTTCACTTGGAAGCAGAATTGGGGGAAGGGTGGTTTTATTTCCCAATGTCAACCAAAATGGTGGCCATCCAAATTTTTATCCATTTCCTACTGGACAGTGCTAATCCAAACAAACAGGGGGTTTTTTTGGGTCTCTTTAGAAACTATCACCTTACAAGTCTCCTTGCAAAATACTTATTGAATATTATCTTCCTTGACAATTCTAAAGGAGGCACTTGAATTCAATATCCTGCCTATAGTTGCTGAGAGGTAGAATTTGTAGTAGCCATATTTATAGCACCTAAACCTGCTCTTTTGATGCTGTGTTTTGCTGATCTGTTCATCCTGAAGGCCTTCAGTGCTTTAA